ATCGGTGAGTACTCGTGCCTCAGCCCAGGCCATGTCCATCTGGCCCCGGGGACAGTTTTCAGCAGAGCTGCGTGGCATGAAACCTGATCCAGCCCAGCTTGTGAGCCAAAAGGGAATATTCCATCTCAAACCACCTAAATGAGCGGGGTGGGTGGCTTCAGACAGACAGTTGTGGGTTTCCCCACCTCAGGGACTGCCCTTCTCTCTCCCAGCTCTGCTTATCACCCAAGGTCTTTGTTCACAGTCATTCCTGCCTATGGTATGAAGGTGGCTGTCAGCAGGCCTCTAGTACAACCCAAGTCCTGGGCTCAGCCCTCATTGGCTCAACAAGACCACGTGCCTTCCCCAGAGCAAATGACCAGTGCTGTTCTGATGCCCAGGCTCCTTCACTCTGGGCAGTTTCTAGGACAGGGTTACTTTTCTTCTCCCCAGGGTCAAATGTCTCCATGTCTAGTTCTTCAGGCTGTGGGGACATTTTGATAAGCCACTATCACGATGGTCTCCCAGCCTTCCTTCTCCCTGCTGCCCCTGTCTCCAGACATATCTGTGTGTGTTGGATGAACAAGTCAGAAGGGGAGGGAGAGGAGAGAGGAGGGGCTTGTAGTGCACCCCGCCGTATCCTCACCCCCATTTACCAATGAGCAAACGTGTAATTCCTAAGTCTAGCCAGGTGTCAGAGCCTGGCCCTACAAATAGCCCAGGGCAGATCCCACTGCTCAGGGAGCTGATGGAAGGGTGATCCAGGCTGCCAGAGACAAAGACACCTACACAGAACCTGACTTCCTGCTTTACAGATCCCTTCATTCAAGGCCCTTCTCCCTGTCTTGAGCCCACTGACCTCTGCGTCATCTCTAATGCAGTCCTTAGCCCTGGGCAGAGCCCTCAGTTCTGGGTTGGAGCAATGGCCCTGTCTTCCTGTTCTCCTGGCTCAGCTCCAGTCTAGACCAGCTGTAGGTCAATTTGCAGAGTGGCTCTTTGTGGCCTCCTGGGACAGAAGCTTTGGAGCCTCCTTTGTCACGGCTGGTCCCTGCAGCTGGCCACAGGCTTTCTGACTCTGAGGGACCTTTCCCTCCATACAAGTTGTCCTTTTTGTGTTGGTGGCCTCAGCCTCAGGGACAGGTAGTGGCTTGTCAGCCATTCCCTGGCCTTTGCATGGATGAACTATTGGTTCTACACCTAGGACCTGTTGGGTGGCATGGGCCTCAGGAGCAGAGTGCTCAGCTCCTGGCCCACAGTGCCAACATTGTGTCCCAAGGTGCCATCGGCTTGTCCTGGACCTTCCTGATGTATGGGATGACTGCTGTTCTTGGCCTGGTCTTCATCTACTTGCTTGTTCCCGAAACAAAAGGGCAGTCCCTGACTGAGATAGAGCAGCAGTTTCAGATGAACAGGTACCTGATGGATGGGTTGGGGGTTGGGGTCTGGGACATGCCTTAAAAGTGGGGCCTTGCAGGACCTTAGGCTCCTCTTCCTTTTGCCAGCTGCTCACGTCTCCTCCTGGCTTGCTGCCATTGTCCCCAAGCCATTTTCCTTCACCTGTTTTGTACCATCTGCCAGTGGCTTTGCGTTGACTTAAAGGCCCGGCTCCTGGATTTGTGTGTGTGGTGAAGGGATCAACCCCGGGCTTTGCATGTGTAACCAAGCATTCCATCCCTGAGCTACATTTTGATTTTGAGACAGGGCCCTGCCATATAGCCCACGTTAACCTTGCTGTGGAGCCCAAGCCGGCTCCATACTTGGAGGCTTCCCGCCACCATGCCAGGCTCTCATGGGGATTGGAATTTACAAAACCACCGAGTATCAGAATCTTAAGATCACCGAATCTTAGAGTCATGGACTTTGGAGAAAAGAATGTGTCCGTGTTTCACCAGGTTTTTCTACTAAGTCCCTGCAGCTGTGTCCCGGGCAGGGTTTGAGGCTTTTGGGAACGTAGCTGAAGTCAAGAATGACAAGGAGCTGTCCTCAAGTTGGGAAGGGGCAGAGAGTAAGCCAGCAGACCATTGAAGAAGAGTGCTCTAAACTGGTGGTATTTAATGAGAAGACAAATTAAGTCTCATATCTTGCTGTGAGGCCAGACTAGCATGGGGCTGGGCGAAGGATCAGGGGATGCGGCTCAGTTAGAGCGAAGACCTTTCTGAGTAGATGCCACTTGAGTCAGTGAGGAGGGGAGGCAGCCATGTAGAGGTGAGGGAAGGGGCATCCTACATGGAGAGAGTAGCAGAGAGTAGCTGGTGCAGAGACCCTGAGGTGGAAGCCTGTCCGACCGGGGCAAGGAACAAAAGATCCCTCCCTCAGGACTGCAAGAGAGAGGGAGGAGGGCCGAGGGTTAGTTCAGCCAGATGGAGTTAGATCACTTCCGGTCTGGAGGTCACAAACAGGATTTCAGAATCTTAGTACCCTGGGAGAAAAGAGGACAGACAGGGGCGCAGGAAGGTGCCTTGTGGTGTTTCAGGCATGAGAAAAATCCCCTCACCTTTCTTACAGTCGAGGTGAGTGAGGTTCCTGGCTGTCTGTTCTATTTCTGGGATTGCCTGAAGGATTTTTTTAAAGTCATTGTAATATTGAGCCAGCTGAGAGGAACAGATGGGGGGGTCAGGGTGGGGGATGGGTAGGGTGAGGGGGTAGGCTGACCTCCCAGAGCGGAATACCAATGTGGGCGTGGTGCAGTGGATGTTAGTGTTGCAGGCGGTCATATTGAGAATTTCCCGGATACGTGGAGACCCCGGTTGCAGGGGAGGGGGTGTCCTGTGGCAATCAGTGCTTTTGTCCTGGGGCCTGGAACAGTGGCAGCCACACCCGGGTCATCAGTGACACTCTGTGGATGCTCCAGAGAGTTCAAGGGCAGCTGGTGACTGAGCTGATGCTTGAGGGGGGGAGAAAAGGCCAGTGGGTTCAGAGCTGGGTGGGAAGGGAGACGGTTCTGGGAGGAGGGAAAAGCAGAGCAGAGGCCCTGGCTGGTGTTTGAAGAGAGGCCAGCGGGTCCCTGTGGCTGTGATGTTAGGCTGAGGTCCTCACAGGGACGTGGACGGTCTGGCTTTGAGTTCAGCAGGGGCACAGTGGCTGGGATGGGGACATGGCCAGCCCGGTGGAGCTGTGCGGGCTGGAGAACTGGGGTACGCACCCTAGGAATGATCAGGAAAGGGCAGAGCAGGGCGGGGGCCCTGACGTCCATTGCTTTCTGGCCAGGGAAGGCCCAGGCTTACTGCCCTCTCGTCGTGTGGTTTCGTTGGCAGGTTCCCTCTGCACTTTGGACACAGGCAAAACCCCAGAGGTATCCAGTACCACCGCCTGGAGGTCTCCTCAGCCTCCTGAGGGTCCTGTCTGCTTGGAAGGTGCTGGTCTATTGGTTTCTGCAGCTCCAGCTTCCTGTCTGCTAGGGTCTGGAACTCATGATCCAGGTGTCTTTCCATAGTGACCCTGCCCGAAAGGCTGTCTCTTGCTGGGGTGAGAGATGAACCCCTTACTCTTCATTTTGAGTGTGAGACTCCAGGGACTCTGGAAGATCCAGCTCTGTGCTTCAGTGTCCCCATGGGGTTGGCTTGACTGCCATGTTTATGATGACATCCTCTGTGGTGCCTCCACCGAGGACTTCTCAAGTGGCCTGGGAAGAAGTGTCTCTGTCTTCCTGTCCACTTGCCAGGGTCTTAGTGATCAGTGGCCTGTTTCATCACTCCCTTCCTCTTGCCCAGGATATTTATTGGGTACTGGGACTCGGACAGGGGACAAGAGGCTGCTGCTTTATGACCCTGGCTTCAGTTTACCCATGGGTCCCACAGAAACCTGGACCAGGCTTCTCCTAAGATCTGTTTTCACACCACAGGGATGGAATCTCAGAGCAGGGACAGAAACACTCAGTGAAGGCCCTGTCACGTGGTCCTGGGATGGAAGCTTTGTTAGCAGAAAATGTACCTACATTGGAATGCAAGAGCTGGCCCCCAACATGTGACAAGTGCCAGAGTAGAGCTGGGGGCTTCGAAGGAAGAAAGAAGGGCTTGGAGGGGCTCACTCAGGTGTTGGTGGTTGTGGCTTCTACTTTAGGTGCTATTGGCTTCCTCAAGCCTCAACTTTTCCACCTGCAGAATGGGCAGAGTTGTGCCCCTCAGGATGTATTGAGTTACCCCATCTCCCTCAGGAGAGTCTTCAGTGAGCTCTGGGGGCTTCTGCTCACTGTGTTACACAGGGCACCTCCTTTGGGGAATTGTAAAAGGTCAGTCAGCTGGAGTCCACCAAATGGCTGAGGTCACCTCCTTTGGGCATTGTAAGAGGTCAGTCATCTGGAGTCCACCAAGTGGCTAAGGTCAGAGGTCTCATAAGAAAGACATAAAAAAGACAGAGTGGGCTCCTGGACACTGGGTAGCTGACCTCACGGGCACTGTAAGTCACACCCTTCTGGTTTCCAAGCCTGGCCCAGTGACCTTGCTCTTTTTCTAGATATTTCATTTATAGCCAGTGACGTGACTGGATTCAGCTTCTGCAGACTGGTTGCTAAGCACTGTCGTTATTTTAAAATATTTTGATTTATAGTAAGCAATTACGGTAATTATAATAGGCAATGTGCTGACATCATCATCTCCTACCAGGTGTGGTGGCACATGCCTGTCATCCCAGCACCCAGGAGGCTGAGGCTAGAGGATAGGGCACTCTAGGCCAGTCTGGCTTTAACCCTTGTCCAACTAAATAAACAGGGGAACACAGAAACCAAGCCCGTGTCGAAGCCACCTCCAAGTTTTCCTGCCACATTTCTCACTCCTCAGTGCCGCTGGTCATCTTCCTGGCTGGGGGTCTCACTGGCTCTGCATTCGGTGCCTTCACAGTAAATGCTGGGCACGTCTTTGCATCCCAGCAGATAGGGAACGCTGCAGACCAGGCTTTGGTCTATTGTTTGCTTGAGTTTTCTGGAGATGAGAATGGCCGGGTCAGGGGTTAAGGAGCCTCCTGTGTGTAGCTGGTATATTGAAAACAGCACAGAAAATGGGGCATGTGTGAAAATTCCTCCACTCTGGTCAGTTCGGCAGACACTGTTCATGGCCTCGATGGAGCAAGAGGCTCTGAGGTGCGTCTGCCCTTCGGGGATGCGTGTCCATCTTGTAGCCCCAGCTGCACATTGACTGCTTACGGAATGCTCTTTAGATGACGCCTTTTCCCACGCAAATAAATGTATTTTAAAATAAATTATTTTGAACAAAGATGTGTGTGTATGATTTGTATTTCTGCACAAATGCTCATTTATTGTCTGTGGAGTGTCAAGGGCAGAGGTGTGGTCTAGATGAGGTCCCTGTTCTTATTCTGACATTCTGGTTGGGTGCTCTGTCCATGGGACATAGGAAAGGAGGTGAAGAGGGAAACAGAAAGGGAGTGAGGAAAACTCATTGACTGACAGATGGGAATAGTAGGTCGATGACAGATGGGCAGAGACGGCCGACAACAGACTGAGGGACTGTAAGTGGTGATAGAGAGAGAGGAGAGGGGATAGAGAGAGAGGACAGGGTTTGTGGGGAAGAGTAAGAAGGGTGAGGACTGAAGCCACAGCATGGGATCAGCTGCACGTGCAGCCGGGAGGGCGAGATCCTCTGGGCAACATGCACGCGTGCACTTTGTGCACTCAAGCGCACACTCGAACACACACATACACACATACATGCGCGCACACACATGCACGCACATGCACACACACACACACACACACGCACACATGCACACACATGCATGCACATGCGCACACACATGCACACACACACACACAGCTGATGCCTCACCCTCTCCAGCCTCTTCTGTCTCCTCAGGACCTGATGTCCTCATGTGTCACTCATGGCCAGACACTGTTCCCATATTTGCCATTTGCCTTTCAAGCTGGAATCTTCTCACATGTGGCACAGAAGTTGGGGATTTTGAAGTGAGACTGAATGCCACCCAGGGCTACCTGATCCTTCAGTCTCCATCTCCTAAACCCTGGGGTTACATTAGCATAATTGGCTACTTCCTGTTCCCCACTCCCTTAAAGAAAAAAAAACAACTTTTAAACTTTTGACACAGCAGGGCGGGGCGGTGGCGGCACACACCTTTAATCCCAATACCCGGGATGCAGAGGCAGGCAGATCTCTGTGAGTTCGAGGCCAGCCTGGTCTACAGAGTGAGTTCCCAGACAGCCTCCAAAGCTACACAGAGAAACCCTGTCTCAAAAACAAACAAATGAACAAGTAAATAAATAAATAAACTTTTGACACAAGGTCTCACTGTTGCCCAAGCTTCAGTGTCAGAAGAGCCGGGAGTGCAGGCCCATGCCAACAGGTCACCTGCTTCCCGTTGCTTTTCTAATCTTTTTTTTTAATTGGTGTTTGTGTGTGTTATGTGGGGGAGGGGCACATGGGGAGGTCAAAGGACAACTTTATGGTGTCAGTTCGCTCTTTCCACCTTTATGTGGTTCCTGGGATCAAATGCAGGTTCATCAGGGTTGTGTATTCAGTGCCTTTACCTGCTGAGCGACCTCGACAACACAGCTTCCTAGTTCTGTTTTCTTTTTTTCGGTGGGGGAGGGAGTGTGGATGTGGGTTTTGAGTCAGGGTTTCTCTGTGTAGCCCTGGCTATCCTGGAACTTGCTCTGTAGACCAGGCTGGCCTCGAACTCACAGAGATCCACCTGCCCGTGCCTCTCGAGTGCTGGGATTAAAGGTGCACACCCCCATGCCCAGTTTCCTGTGAAGCTGAGTTCAGAAATGCCATGTCCTGGCCAAGGTCAAGAGCAGAGTCAGCAATTTCTCCACCACCCGGCTGTTTCTTGGCGTCTGCTTGTGTAGAAACCTGAGTCACATGTGCACCGACTCAACATCCCAGTTTTCCTGGCAAAGACTGAGTCTGCCAGTGGAAACAATGTTTTCATTTTCTCTTTTGCCCTCATCTATGAGTGTATCTCCCCTGCACTCAGCCCCGGGAACTCACTAAGTTCTTCCAGACTTGGGGGCCGGATGACACCCTGAATCTCTGGTCTTGACAGTCTAGGCTGCTGGTTACTGAGATATGATCCGAAAAACTTTCTCTGGGGCCATCGGTCAATCAGACGTCAACTTCTGGAGAGGGAGAACTTGGCAACTGCGCTGAACATGGGTACCACAGTTCACTGCCAGCTGCTGGGACTGAATGGGTGTTGAGCTGGACACAAAACCAGTTGCTATGACATCTTTAGTGGCTAAACCCAGTTGCAACAGCACCTCACTGCTTTTTACTAACAGCATAGGCTCTAAGCAGTACTTCAAGCTCTCCCACACTGGGGCTTCAGGGGCAGGGTTAACTTTCTGGATTCCCTCGGTGAGTTAATTTTTGAAGATGAGTTCATCTGAAACGTGAAGAAACCCCTAATATTTCTAGCCAGGAGATCTTGTTCCATGGCAAGTGGGTCCACAGGAATGACCAGTCTGGTCACTGTGTCTTTCTTTGGCTGTGAGGTTGTTCATGGGGCTATGAATTCTACTGAAGGAGCAGAGTCAGAAGGACGAAAACATACTTCCTAAGATTTGGGGTGCTTCTCCTCTGACTATCCACTCTCCAGTTTGCCTGCAGGTCCCAGGCAGCCCAGGGTCTGACACCTGCTTGGGTTTGTCATTCTTTGGGGCAGTATTCTACTGGGACTGTCAGCTGACCCAGAGTCAACTATTCCTGAAGGTTCAGAACCGTCTCTGGAAGAAACACACATTTTGACCCAGTCAGATCAGTAATCCTTTGTGCTTCAGAGGCTAAGCAGGTACCGCCTCTAAAACTTAGGATCTTCCAAGAATGGTTTGGTTTCACATGATCAAATTCTCTCTCTGTATATACCTGTAGCCCAGAATGGTCTGGAACCCCTTGGTAATTCTCCTGCCTCAGTCTTCCAAGCACCAAGATTACATATGTGACTCACCACACCTGCAGCTCTCAGCGTTAGCAGCCCTGACTCCTATGCTGGATTTCCAAAACGAGTGTTTGTACCTTGAGAGCAAAAACACTCCACCACTACGACGACAGCCCTTAAGCCTCGGCTGTTTAACCACTGGTACCTTTTATCTTGTAGGGGTGGGGTTCATAGTCCTGTAACTTTGGCTCTTGCCCTCTGCTCTTCACGGCTGCTGTCCTCCATAGTGTCTGGGCACCCATGGCTTCTCACCTTCTGGGTACTTCTGGCACGGTTTGCCCTTGCTTCTTACAGTTTCTCCACCATTCTTTGGAATTCTTAGCAGTTTCCTTGCTGAACTGGAAGTCCTGGGGCTTGACTCATTTTCCAGGACCCAGCTCAGCCTGCCCTGCCGGAGAATACCTAAAACAGACAGAAGTCCCCCTGGGAGAAGCCTTTATTGGGCCTGATGCTACACACTAGGCAGGTGGTGCATGGCAGAGAAGCCTGCCGGTCGGTCACCCCAAGGACACTGAGAAACAGGCTGCTTGCATGGGGGGAAGGGAGAATCGCGAGTAGCCTTGCTTGTGTGTGGCTTCCGTTCTACCACGTCAATGGTTATGCCATTCACAGCTGCCCTGGTTGGTTTGCTTTATGTGTTTTCAGCTTGACACAAACCTAGACATATCTGGGAAGAGGGAATCCTAATTGGGAAAATGCTTGCATAAAGCTGGCCTATATGCAAGTCTGTGTAGCATGGCCTTGATTGATGATGGCTGTGAGAGGGCCCAGCCCGCGTGGTCCTGGGCTCTATTAGAAGGTAGGCTGAGAAAGTCATGGGGAGTGAGCAAGCGAGCAGCATTCCTCCACAGCCTCTGTTTCAGCTCCTGCCTCCAGGTTCCTGCCTCGAGTTCCTGTCCTGACTTCCTTGGATGACGGACCGAGATGTGCAAGTGTAGGCCTGATAAACCCTTCCCTCACCAAGTTGCTTTTGACCACGGTGGTTCATTGCAGCAATAGAAACCCTGACCAACATGACGTCTCCACATGGAACCAGTCACAGTGTTTTTGTGGAGTCACTAAAGAGGTACAACCTGCCTGCTCTGAGTGAGACCAGCTACAAGGTGAGCACATGTATCTGGAGTCCACTGAGACTGTTCTGCACTGGGTAGAGCTGTTCAAAGCCAGCACAGTTTGCCTGGAGCAGTCAGGACTGGAGCGAGGCCTCCAGATGAAGGAGTTGTAGCTTGCAGCCACTGTGGTGATGGTGGTTTTTGCAGTTGGAGTGGAGTTGTCCCAGAATTATCAGGGAGCATTTAGAACAGCTACAGGGCAGTCTGAACGACTGTCAATGAAGAGGTTGCTTGGCCAACAGTTCCAACTCAAGGCAAACAGGAACACAAGAAGGGTCTGTCAGCTGTCCTTCAAGGGTCCCAATAGCTTGTTCATAAGAAAAAGCATGCATGGGGGCTGGAGAGATGGCTCAGAGGTTAAGAGCACTGGCTGCTCTTCCAGAGGTCCTGAGTTCAATTCCCAGCAACCACATGGTGGCTCACAACCATCTACAATTCAATCTGGTTCCCTCTTCTGGCATGTAGGCAGAAGACTGTATATGTAATAAATAAATCTAAAAAAGAAAAAAGAAAAAACATGCATGAAAGGGCACTTACAATACAGACCTGTGAGTAAGCGCTTGCGCTGTTCCTGTGTGGGACCCCATCACCAGCATCCCCAAGGAATGGCCCCCACACCCATTTCACGGATGTTTGTCTATGAGGGGACACAGGGGAGCCCCTCATCCTTGACTTTCATGAAGAGTAGGAATGTCTCTGTGCTTTGGGCTGGAGGCGTGGGTAGCAGGAAATATACAGCACACTGGATGCTTTCCCTACAGCAGAGGGCAAAGCAGCCGGTTCTCGCAGTGTTTCGAGCCTCTGCAGAGAAGCACTGGGCTAAGGTTTTCCAAGCCATCCATCCATCCATCCATCCATCCATCCATCCATCCATCCACCCAATCATTCTCTTTGTGATTCCAACGTGGGTGGAGGGAAGGATTTCGGCTACCCACTGAGCTCTCCTTGGCCTTAGGATTTCAGCCAAATGGGAAGCAGGAAGACCCTCCCCTCCCCATTTAATCACGCTGGCACCTCCACTTCCCTATCCACACTTGCCTGGTTATTGAGGTCTTGGTACTGTCTGCCCTGCCGGTCCTTCCATCTGTCTTCTCCTGAAGGCACCAGACACAGGAAACACCTGCACCACTTCCTCTTCATCCCAGAACTCACACAGTGCAGCAATCTAAGCACTTCTGTGAGCTGTGCAGCTT